AAAAAAAAAAAATAAACGCGCGTTGAAAAGATAAAAAGTAAAAGTTAATTGTATTCGAATTACTTTTTTCTTCAATAAATTTTGTATACGATTAAACAAACGGGGGAATGGGAAGGGGGGGTAGGGGAATGTACAGATTAGATTAGAATACTTTATCGCGATAGGTGAATAATGTTTTTTTTTTTTTTTATCAATGGTTTTGTGTCATCTATCCAGGAACCAACTATTACTACTACTACTACTACTACTACTACGCAGTATTCGTTAAGATACCGTCTTTGTAGTATTATAACACTTATTCCATTAATTTTAAATTATACTAATTTATATATGAAATATTTCGAATAGTAATCAAATCATTTTTGTAAAAAAAAAAAAAAAGACAAATTCTTCGTTTTATTGATTTTCCACGTGCATGTGTGTATTATATTTCCAGTAAGTAAACACAATTGTAATATTTTAACTAACAAAATTGATCTAATAGAAATTAACGATGGTATTATTCTGGCTTTGACACATAATTTAGGTAGCATGTTCATAATTATATTTAACATAATAAACGTACGACAAATTTTGCAACGATCTATAAATCAAATCAATGGTATTTATTGTACGAACAATTTATAGAAATTCTTTTAGAATGTTTTGATCAATTTATAATATAACGCATCAGTTTGATGTGTTTAAATATTGATCCCCAAAAAGAAAAAAGAAAAATACTTTATATGGGAAATTTTATACAATACTTGGAATATATATATATATATGTATATAACGGAGCTGAGTTTGTGAAACTAACTCGGAACAAATTATTTGATCGTGATCTTTCATCCGCGACCAACTTTATAAATAAAATCAGTGTTTCTCAAATCTTAATATAAATTCACTGTATTAATATTATTTCGATACATTTATCATTTGAATTATCATCAACGAATTATTATTATTAACCAAAAATTTATCTTTATTTTATCACTACCGAAAAACACCGTGCGTTCATATTGTATGATATTATAAAAACGAATCATATAAATAAATACGTGCATGATATTTCGAAAAATAAAAAATAAAACAGAAGAAGAAGAAAAATAATTGTCCGTGAAAAGGTAACACGAATATTTTAATTAATAAAATGAGATAAAATTCTTGCATATTGAAATACATTCTTTTGAATTTTCATTTTTTCGTATTATCAACAAATGAAATTATAATAATAATAATAATAATGAGATAAATATATAAATGACGTTTGAGAAACTCTGCTTTGAAGTATACATATATATATCTTCACTTGAGCGTGTTGTGTAGATTTGCATAGAATGTAGCGTTGCAAAATTTGTATAGTGCAGTTAGAAATAAGACACAGGGGAAGGGGGAGGGGGAGGGGGGATTTAACACGCGCGTTCGTTTTAATATAATAAATATTATATCATTTGAACATCCAACCGGATCTCAACAGGAACCAATAATCTTCATGGAGAAAGAAAACGATGAGGAAAACAAGAACAACGTTGAAACGATTTGCCAGACAACAACAACAACAACAACAAGTAATAGTAATAGTACAACGATGACTGATCGTGAAATAGGAGAACCTATCGAGAATCTATCGATTAATACAATACTCGAAACAACTATGACTAATCCTACTATTACTACTACAACTACAAATATTATTACAAAGAATTCCACTGAAGTAATGACCATGGATACACCTGATTCACCTACTTCACCAATACCAATAATAATTGGACTTGAAAGGCCAACTACTTTGAACTTCAATAAAACTGAAATCTCAAACATCGATGTAAATAATTATCTCAGTCCGGTCTCACCTCAACAGGTAATTAATTAATGATAAATAATACTCGGATAATGTGAATTTAAATATAATTATTTGATTAAACAGTTTTTTTTTGTTTGACGTATCAATTTAAATAAAATTATTTTGGAACAATGTGTCGCGTAACACATTGATGATTGTTGATTAACTTCTTTCCTTATTTGCGTTAATATATTATTATTATTATTATTATTATTATTTGTTAAACAATATTTGAACTTGTATTACAGTTTTTACCGTTGAGTTTGTCGAACGACGAAGAAATAGTGACTGGTTTAGCTTTTCCATTGGGTCCACCAACCACTGTCGAACCACCAAAAGAAAAGCCACCACCACCTCCTGTTGATGATATCAGTGACGAGGAAACATTACCAATGGAACCTCTTAAAAGATTGAACTCAACTAGGAGAATAAAGAAAGAATTACGAACGAGGCGGTCGGATTTTTTGGGAATAGAAGGAGTACGTTTTATTATATTTTTCAATTTAAAAAAAAGAGAAAAATATATATACATAGTGTCCCACGTAACTCTAGTCACGATTTATCAAGTATTACTAAATTTCAAAATCATTAAAATCCATTTGCTAAAAGTATAAAAAATAATTACCGAAACTTTTCAAAGAAATTGCAAAGATGCACAATTTACAGCATTGCATTCTCTGACATTTTATGAACCTTTGCAGATTGATTTATAACTTAATAAGGTATTCTACACGTAGACAAAAGAGTGTACTTTAATTTAATATGGGACACCGTGTAAATACATAAATCTTTCGCGCACACTAATCGATTCAGAAAATTTACGTCCATTTAAAAAATAAAATCAAATAAAATAAAATAAAATGAAATATAAAATAGGTGAACGACGATGACTTGGAAAGGGAATTAACGTTGATGAAGCCACCAGACATGGCAGCAATTCTTGCCGAAGAGAGACGTATCGAACAACTGCATCGTCGTTCTTACGACACTGACAGTAATTACGAACAGGATTCTAGCCACGAGAGGGATTCCGGTGTTGAACTGGGACACGTTGAAGACTGGACGAAACAACCTGTCAGTCCTGACATGTCCCAGCACAGTCGACAAAGTAGCGAACCTTTTGGCGCCAGTGTGACCTCATCCGAGGAAGATGAAATCACCAAGAAGGAAAGAGAGATCATTGAGGTTTTAGAAAAAGAAGAACAATGGCGATATGGGAACAATCACGAACGTAACAGGTAATTTTTTTCTTCCTTTTACCATCATTACCTAATCCAATTTATTTAAAATAAACAAAAAGAAGTTTTCTATTGTATATCAATGTCTATGTATGTGTATGTTTGTATTTAAGTGTCTAGCATTATTTTTATTTACGTTAACAGCGATTTGGGAGAAAAATTGGCCCACAAATTGCGCGAATTGGAAGAAGAAAAGATGCAATTGGAACGCGAGAGAGCACAGGAAGTTGTTTTACGTAGACAGGAAGAGAATTTACGGAAGAATGAAGACAACGTGCTGCGTAAACAAGAAGAAACTCTACGCAAACAACAGCAACAACAACAGCAACAACAACAGCAACATCTCTCTTATCATCATCACCATCATCATCATCATCGTCATCATCATCAAGATGATGAAATCAGACAACAACAGGAAGCTGCTGCTGCTGCTGCTGCTGCTGCTCGTATTGAGATTGAAACTAAACGAGTCGAAGTTACGCGACAGGAAGAGGAACAACGTCGTATACAAGCTGAACAACAATTGAGAATTCAAAACGAAATTGAAGAAAAGGAAAGAAGAACAACAACTGATGTACGACGAAAGGAAGAAATACGAATTAGAGCTATGGAAAATCAAATTCGCGAACAAGAGGTGAGAAATGAAGTGTTTTGTTGTAAATTTTGATAATATAATTAAAGGATAAACGAATGAATTTGATTTGGATTTAAAAATATTCATTGGTTTCTTTTTTCTTTTTTTGTATCTGCACGTTAAATAATTGTTTCATGTAATATTCAAATGAAAAAATATAATATATCTTTTCATTGGTGTTTCCAAGATTTTTCTACTAATGCATATAACTGCATCATGTATAATAAATTGCACACACATTGAATTATTAATCATAAAAATAAATGGAATATTTAATAGACAAGTTTTATTAATTGTACAAACACTTACAACAACATTTATTCCTACTTCTTATTCGCAGAACAAGATATTGGTTGGTGCTGGGTTGAACAACCACGAAGATGAATTTGCATCTGGGGTAAGGGATTGATTGATTATTTATTAAGCACTGAATAATATTTTCTTTTATATATTAATATAAAAACTTTTTCGAACATATATTAACGAAAGGAAAATTTTTGTTTGGTTACAACGTTGTTATTGTTGTTGTTCTTGTTGTGTTGTTCAGGAAGTATTACGCGTTGAGAGAGAATTACTTCAATTGGAACAAGAGGAATTGAAGAGACAACGTAACAATCTAGCTTATCGCGAACAAAAACAATTGAAATTGGCGGAACAATTACAGGAACAGTGGAAATCCTTGCAAGATGTAGCACATCATCATGGTTCATCTAACATTTCTCAACAATACAAGCATCAGCCAGCCATAAATTATAGATCATCTATGCCGAACCTTCAACTGCAGGATGCACAAAGAAGAAGACCACCACCACCACCAATACCATCTAACAAACCGTTACGTCACGTTGAACAAAGACAAAGAGACGTAACTATCAGGTAAATATATTGTCAATAATTATATTTTGTATAATAAAACATCAAACAAGGAAACAAAGTAAACAAACAATTAACATTAGATTTATGTACTTTTAACCATATATTTATATATACAATTTAAATATTAATTCCTTTCTCTCCCACACTATTAACTTATTCATTCAAACACAATGTTTGTTAATCTTTAACAAAATATTAAACAAATTATTTGTAAATCTAGTGTTAAATATAATAACCAAATTATTATTATTACTGCACTACTCTTTTATTTTATTGTATTATTTTTCTAGACAATATCTATTGTACCTAATACTACTATTACTAAGTATCTTTTGTTTTTTTTTTACGTAATCACGTAATTTACAATAGAATTGAAAATAACGTATAAAACAAATGTAATCTATCATGGTCTATATATTTTTAAACTATAGAAATAGTCGTGTACCATCAGCTGATTCTATACCGCAACAAGTGGACGCATCATTGCGACATAGTTCTTCAGCAACGACACTTTCATGCCATGGTGGTCAACAAATGACTAGGCAAACGTTGCAAGCACTTAGTGCTGCACCTAGACCCAGAATTGTTCAAGGAGATCAATGGGTACAACGAAGGAAAAGTGATGTACCTAGAGGGGTTCATGATTTCAATTATCAACACTGGCTCATTCAAGTAAGCTTTCCTTAATATTTTAATCTTGTATATGTATATATAAATACATCTTTCTTTTTTTATTCAAATATATAAACAATATTATAAATATATCAATTTATTTCACGTTCACACGTTTATTATGTTATAATAAACTGCACAATATGGATTGTTTGTTTTTTTTCTTTTGGTAAAATTTACTTTGGAAATATATTATAAATAATAAAACATGCACGAGAACTTTTTGGTGTTCATTCTAATATTTAAATATTATATTTATTTATATATATAAATATATAAAAGATCTGAGATAAATATAAGTAAAGTAATGATAAGACATTGTACAAAACTGTGTAAGTTGTGCAATAAAAAACCTGATTATATATATTATATTAATATAATATACAATAAATATTAAATATATTAATTCATATTATTATAGTATTATATATTAATTCATATTATTATAGTATTATATATTAAATTCATATTATTATAGTATTATATATTAATTCATATTATTATAGTATTATATATTAATTCATATTATTATAGTATTATATATTAATTCATATTATTTATATTAATATAATATATAAATAAATACTAATATTATATTAATTCATATTATTATAGTATTATATATTAATTCATATATTATTTATATTAATATATAAATATTATATAAATATTATATATTAAATATTGATATGATATGATATGGATTATTATTTATTCTATTTAATAGGAAGCAGAACAACGGAGAATTCATGAGAAAAATCAGAGATCACCTGCACGAAAGTCTCAACCGCACGTGACCGGAACATCCGTACCTTATGCCGCTGCTCCGACACGGTCGGATAGCAAGCCGTTACCAGATTCCATTATACAAACTCTTACTCAAAGAGTACAGAACAGAGCACAGGAAAAACCACTATCTCCGAGAAGAAGGTACACACAAAAAAATATATCATCGATCAAACATTATTGTATCATTTTTATGTTGCTTTAATATTTTCTTTCAATTAATTCATCTCATCGATTGCATTACAAATAGAATACAATTATTATCAATTTTTTTAATATTCATGATTGTTTTATTTTTTGTTTTTTTTAGATTAGAACATAGTACCAGTCAAGAACATATTCCACTTCAACATTCTAACACGAATCAACAACAATTAACGTTACAACCTAAATCACAACAACCACAATCTGTTAACAATAACGATAATCAAGAAAAAATGTTAAGCGTCAGTGGAAAAAAGAAATGTTCCCATTGCGGAGACGAATTAGGTAAATGAAAAAGAAAAACAACAATATATTGCATAAATAATAATTAAGATATAATGAATTTATTTTCAAACACTTTGAATGCCACCCACAGGTGATGGTGGTGATGATTATCAGTCACAAAATATCTGCAATTCGTTATACACACACACACACATATTCGCATCATTATTTCAAAGTTAAATTAATTTTATAAAAATCATTAAAAGTACAGTGTGTGTTTTCTATAAAAATTTGTTCTAATTTTCTTCTCGTGTTATTATAAAATATATTTTAAAAGAGTTTCAACAATTTATGAATCATGCTTATTAACAAAAGCATGTTCTAGCAGTTGTATTACTTGTAATTAATTTCTATGACAAATTTTGATTAATAAAAATACGAAAATAATCCGAAACTATCTGAAGGAAAACATTCAAAGTGTTTGAAAATTATATTGGATATATAAAAATAAATATTATTTAAAATTGAATATGATTTGTTAATAGGTCGAGGAGCTGCTATGATAATTGAGAGTCTACGTTTGTTCTACCACATGGAATGTTTCAAATGTTGTGTATGTCACGTACGATTAGGTGACGGATTAATGGGAACGGACGTACGCGTTCGAAACCACAAACTCCATTGCCATAACTGCTACTCCAGTGACGACGGTACTACTCACACTTAAAAAAAAAAAACTCCTCTACCTAGTATTATTCCGTACTATTTAAAATTAGGTAAATGTCGTGTTTTAACGTACGTAACGGGAGAGAGAGAGAGAGAGAGAAACGCTGAGAATATATAAATAATATTTATACTCTTGATAAAATTTTGGGCAGTGCATAATTAAATGCAGCGTCATGCAATCCAAGACAACGATATATAAATAAAATAAAATTATATATAAGAAGAAAGAAAATGCAAAAATAAATACAAATAAAGTTCAATTGTATAGTAATACAATATACATATAAATATAGTAATAATAATAACATTAATGGTAGTAATAGTAGTAGTAATAGTAGAAGTAGTAGTAGTAGTAGTAATTATATTAATAATAATAGTAGTTATTGGGCTAAATTTAAACGTCGTTGTCTTGTGCGGCATGTCCTGCATGGCACCCCCCTGCCACCCCCTACCCCCTTTAACAATATTTCCTTTAATTCGTTCACTCTTCATCCTTGCGTTCCATTTTCAGGTGTCAAGTTCAGCTGCGTGTAGAAGCGCAAACGGGGGCTAAATGGATCTGTGCAGACTAACTTGAATATAGCGTGTTCTCCCAGCTATATTTTTTAAGTTGTGTGTGTGTATTTGTGTGTGTGTGTAGTTAATTGTTTAAGTAGTTAGCTAGGCTAACCCGACAATTTTACGACGACAGGGGTTTGTTCACGTGTGTACATAATTAAATAGATATATACGTATATTTATAAATATATATATATAGATAGGCAGATAGATAATTAGATAAATGGATAGATATATATATATTATCTTTCGTAAATGAAAATTATTTTTTAAAAAAAATGTTAGAATCAACTCCGTTATCGTCGTCGTCATTATTATTATTTTCATCGTCATGATTATCTTACTCGACCACCTGTTAATTAGAAAAGTATTTTGATTAATTAGAAAATTGTTTGTTGGGAGAATATTTTTGATTTCAGATAATAAGATTGATTGATTATTCATCGATTTGTTTCAAACTATTACACCCACACAACGTGCAAGGAAATAGAAACACACGTGTTTTGTAAATAGATTGTATTTATGTAAGTAGCATATATATATACAAATATTATTATATAGTCGGTTAAGGAATTAATTAAAGGAAAAACTTTGTTGTTACGTACGCGATATCATCAGATCATCATCCCTCTGGCATCCGAATATTAAAATAATAAATGATAAGAAAATGATCTTATGTTCGTATGTAATCCGTAAAAAATATTATATAGATTGCATTGTACATTTTTGTAATATATATATACTTTATATTTATGAGATCATTTCTCTGATAACATACTAGCTAAGATATGGTAATTCACTTTATCGTTTATGTTTATTCACCAACGAGAAACACCTTATTATTAAATATTTAATATTATGGAATATTAATAATAATAATAATAATGCCTAAAATCAAATCGAAAATAATAATTAACTTTCTTACGAGAAAATCATTTCTTTTTTCTTTTAGATATTTTTAATAACGTTTACGGAAAAAAATACGGCTAATTAACATTTAAAGTGTACCCAAATACGATCGCTAATGAAGTCATGCTTGTTTTGCGTTTTCTTTTGTTTCTTATTTTCTTCCTTTCCCATTTCCTTTTTGTGAAAAAAGAAATAAATAAAGAAATAAAATTCTTACAAAACTTGGCAGACAACAGAACAAACACCTTCTTCTTCATGCGATCGTTTACAAAAGTACACGAATTTACCATTGTTAAATATTGTAAATGTCCTCCTTGATTATAAACGTGTAATTTTATATTATCGCAAAGAATAAATGTTTATTATAGTGAAATAATATACTATATATCATTTGTTATATTGTATTTTCCGCTATGAACCCTTTAGCATATTTCTAAGATCGAATCTTGGAAAGAATTTTTGGAAGATAAACATTGAAAGAAGAAGAAGAAGGAAAAGAAAAATAAAAAAGAAAAAAAGGGGAAACTAAAAGCACAAAAAAGTTGATGGTTGTGCTATTAAAAATAAGCTGTCAGCCCTGACATCTTATTAATCGCTTTATTTTTTATGTATATCATCTTCAAAAAGATTATGCAACTCTGTCGCGATATATAATAATAATAAAATATAATAAAGTTAATGGGAAGTCTGTTATTAAAAAGTTACCGTATATAAAAGCAGTACTTTACTATCTAAATATCTTCAAATTATCAGCCGTATATAAAGAAAGTTCGTATGTTTTACTTAAAGTATCTTTAATGATTCTATTATAATTTTTCTTAAAAATATATTGTACATACTTAAACTTTAACATTTCACTTAAATATGAATATATCAGTTGTGTTTTAATCTAGTTACCTTTTTTCTGTACCTTTTCTAAGGCAATCGTTCTTAAGAAGTAAACTACTTTAATAAATAATTAAAACAAAATAAATATATTAGTTTTTTAATTGTTATTTGTCCTTTAAATGTATAGAGACTTAAATTACACATTCACTTTGTGTATACTACTTTCTATAAAAAGTTACTAGGAACTAAGAAAGTTTCAAAAATATTGAAATTCTAGTAACATGGCTACGACGATTTTGGTAATAGTAGTGCTCTACCTTTATCTTAGTAAAAAAATTTCACCGCAGAAAAAAACAAATAATTGCTCATAATTGCTCACTAATTGCTCATTTAAAATCTATAATTGCTTGCTTTATTTTTCGCAATTTTTTTACTGTCGGTAATTCTGATGGTAAGTTACCATCAGATCTCGGTCGGTAATACGACTTACCGACTGAAAATATTTTCAAATGTCAATAACTAATGAAATAATTATTAAAAA